TATATATATATATATACCAACTTTTAAAATTTCTTAAAGAGCAACATACATGCTTTTTATTTTATAATCTTTATTTGTTTTAGCCAATGAACGTTTTGGTGTTTGAGATTTTATAAGTACCATTGATTTACCACACATAATTTTTATGAAATATATTGTTTTTAATTTTTATTGCAATGTAATATACATACACCAATTTTATATTTACAAATATTTTAACTAGCTCCTTTTTAAGTTAGTAATACTAGTAATACTATAATAGTACTGGGTAAATATTCAATTAATTTCGTAAAACTAAATATTTCTATTTAAAGAAAGAACTCAATAAATTTTAGAATATTAAAACAATAATCGAATACTTCTACAAAAAATAAAATAACTTACTTATTTAAATTCAAAAACATTTGTAGTACTGAAATCAAAGTGAAAATTAATTTAAAATTGTATGGAAAATAAAAATAATAAATGAGATTAAAAATGTTTATTATTGTTGACAATTTAAAACAAAAGAATTTATATTTTAAGGAAGTAAATTAATTACATAGTTGAATGGTTGATGGTTACTAAGTAAAATTAAGTTTCAAGAAAATTTTAAGATACATTATTTAACTATATCAAAACGCCCGAAATATCATTGCAATGCATGGTTATATTTTAATATGAAAAAATGTATTCATATATTTACGGACTTACTTGGAACTGAATATAAACAACAGAAATTAGATATTAAATATAAATGACTGTTACTTATACCCAGCTTTACATATAATAATAGTAAAGTTGATTCAAATAACATAATTAAACAGATAAGAATAATATACAAATATAATATATTATAAATATAAAATACAAGAAATATATAGCATAAACGAACATTAAAAACGACAATATTAGCTGTTAAATAATTGTATGTGCCTATTGGTAAGACGCATCCTGTTAATTGACTAATTTTGTCCTAATATTTAATTGTGAGCGATAATAGTTAAGAGAATAGATGATCTACTAGAATGGGAAAAAACTCTAAAATTAATTTGAGAAGGAGCATTAACACGCCTTTCAATTAAGTCTTACAAAAATAATAAGTTTGCCTCAACTCTCCTTTCGGTTACAGAGACGGTAAAACAATAATGCATTAGTGGCTGTAGAGATTAATGGTAGGTATGAATTAGTATTAATGAATGGTAGGGTGATTAATTTTTAAAATAAACGAAGTTTGATTTAAAAATCGTCTTTGGACACGTTCTATAAGGGAAGAATCTACAGATGTATATGCGTATCAAAGTATTTAGGCATATTCTAGAAGGAATCTAACAAGGAAGCAATAGATTATCTGGAGGGAAGTGAACAACTTAAACTTTTTGTGTAAGCGTAATACTAAAACAAGTGTCTGAAGAGATTTACATTAACATAAAACGACAATAAATCCATCTATTTTTTAACAGATCTATGATTTCATTAGTGATACCTACCGTAATATAATGGTTTTTGAACTCTTAAAATGTATTTATATTTTTGGCTATTTTAGATAGCGAAATTATATTGAAAGCAGAAAAGTAATTCAAAAAGTTTTTATTTGGCACGCTGCTAACTAAAAACTATTACTGATAAGCCTGTAAAAAAATTAAAAAAATCGTTAAAGTTCCACCGCGGTACTCATTGTAAATTATTATTATCAACAGGCATTTATTCTAAGAGAATAACGCACACATTTAATTTTAACGGTTTATAGGATATTTGGGTACTAGATTGTCAAACAAATTAATTTTCTACTGTATTATTATTATTTTATAATATTATTATAATAATTATATTTTCCATTACTTTCTTTGGTTAAAAGGTATTTATAATATTTTATTTAATATATGTATGTATGTATATATTATAAGTACTGACGAATACGTATATATATATATATATATATATATATTACGTAATTTGTTTTTAGACATATACCATACATTTATATTAACATATAAGATAAAATGCGTTACGTGGCCAGATATTAATCAGAATGTTGTTTATTTTAAAACGATATACTTGATATAACCACTAAAATGTTAAAACGATGTAAAAATAATCATCGCTCATACAGATATAATTTGATAACTATAAGCGAAATAGTTAAAGTTACAACGAAAGTCGTATTGCGTTGAGATGTGAATGCGATGAATTGCAACCAATAGCTTTTCGCTGTTCAGGTCAATCTCTATCAGTAATCGTATTATAGTTTCATGTCATTAAATCAAAAGTAGTTATACTCAATGTTAAATTTAATACTCTTTTTTTTTTTCTTTTTTTTTTAAAAGCTTCCACCTACACCTAATATTTGGTTTTATAGCGAATCGCATGATTTGTAAGAAAATGTATACTTCAATAAACTACAAAAAATTACATTATTATCTTGTTTTGATGGTTGCATTCAATTTATAAAACTAAATTAATACAAATAAGTTTTAAAATAGTTATAACAAAGCGAACAAAAAGAAACAATATTATAAACATTCATAACGTTAATTTCGTAATATTTTCAAAAAATGGCCAAATATTCGAAAAATTTTAATTTCCATCGTCCATTTTCCTACAGATAAAGAAATATATAATAAAACTTTGACGGCTTATTGTCTTTTTCCATTAACGAAATAAATTAAATAACTTGGAAACTCCGTAAAAATAATGGATATTCAAAATTCGTTTCGATTCATCTACCTCTGCTAGAGAATCAGAGTTGTATTACTATAATATAATACATTTTTAAACAATGATAAATCAAAGCATTTTTGAAACAATTCTACAAATAATTCCATTAGAAATGAAGTTAAAAACAATGATTTTTAATTTCACCTTGATATGTAAGTTAATTCAATAATCAATATTTATGGTTACAAATATTAAATAGGTTAGATGAAAATTGTAAAACCCTGTAATCAAATATACAGCATTAGTACCTAATAACAATAACATATTGTATTTAATTATCTACAAAATAGTAATTTCATAAAATCTAATTAATTCATTTTAATAATAGACAGAATTGTTTACAAATTGTACGAAATCTATAAAAAAAAATTAAATTAAACGATATTGTCAGGGCTTTGGGGCTTTTACATAGTTGTTATCGAATTTCAATGTTTTTTAAATCGGAAATGGATAGTTTCGTTCGCAACCGATTAAGCCTTAGATTTTCAAGGTGTCAATTGAAATATCATTGACATTCACTAGAACATATCTATTTTGGAAATTTATTTTATAGTATTTTATCTATATATCAAAAATACTTTCACCCTAAATAATGTACATCGTTGCACTTTGAAAACTGTACATTACACATATACTATACTACTTATTCTAATGTTTAATAACTATTAATTATTATAATTATTTTACTACGCATTTGAAATATAAAAGATATATGGTGGCTTAATCGCAAATCATTATAAACGAATCCCTATATTTTTTGTTAGTCATAGAATGTATAACATGGATGATCGTATTCAAATGTAGTAATATTATGGATGTGATAATTAATTTAATACATTTTGGCCGTTTTCGTTGAGGCATTTCTTATATATGATCCGAGATATAAATTTAAAAATGATTTAAGTTATTCCTTTCCGAGTAGATTACCTAAAATCTTAAACACTACTCACGACGTATATCCTGTTTTTTTTAATTTAACATCACGGGTAATATTTTCGGAAGCCAAAAGTTTGGAAAAATGTACAACAGAGAGCGAATAAAAGTTATAAAAAAATTCATGGATGGTCGAATATTTGATTTTTACAACATAAATAAAATACAAATATTATTTCAGGTACTAAAAAGCAGACTTTAATAAAGTTAGGAGTTTTGCTATAAATTAGATTGTCAACTACCCGTTATTAAAATAAATATTGTTCATTTATTATTTTATAACTTTTTACGTAAATATTATTATTTGAGTACAATTAATTTTCCATGTGTAAAATTATGCCTAATTTTGCTTGTAAATTTGTGTATAGTACTTTTTATTTTTATTTTTAATTAATATGTAATTATTATTTTTTTTTTACAGAAGGACACAGTAATAATTTTTAAAATAAATTAGCACATAAATATAACAATATCAAATTCTTAAAATGAAAAGATACGCTCTCCCTTACCATTTCTTTGATATATATACTGACAAAATGGCTCTTATGATTATATTATACATTGATTAATTTAAAAAAAATGTGGAAGAAAATACATTTTATGAACAATATTAACTGTCATAACACAGTGACATTGTGATTAATTATAATTTTATTAAAAGTTGTGATATCCACAATTGTTG